GACTTAAAAACAAGAATCATGAGATCATCTCAACAGATGCAGAAAAAGCATTTGACAAACTACAGCACACCTTCACGTTCAAAACACTAGAAAAACTAGGGATAGTAGGAACATACCACAACATGTAAAAACTATCTATGCGAAACCCAAGGCCAGCATCATTCTAAATGGAGAAAAATTGAAAGCATTCCCTCTAAAAACTGGAACAAGACAAGGATGTCCTCTTTCACCATGTCCATTCAACATTATCCTTGAAAATCTAGCCAGAGCAATTAGACAAAAGAAAGAAATTAAAGGGATACAAACAGGTAAAGAAGAACTCAAACTATCACTATTTGCTGATGACATGATTCTATACCTAGAAGATCGAAAAAAATTCCACCAGAAAACTTCTAGAACTAATAAATGAATTCAGCAAAGTAGCAGGATATAAAATCAACAACCATATATCAAATGCATTCCTATACATCAGTGATGAATCCACTGAAAGAAATTAGGAAAACTACTCCATTCACAATAGCTTGAAAAAAAAAATAACCTGGGACTCAATCTAACAAACAAAACAGGTGAAAGACCTCTGCAATAAAAACTACAGAATACTAAAGAAAGAAATTGAAGAAAACCTCAGAAGTGAAAAGATCTCCCATGCTCCTGGATAGATAGAATTAATAAATTATGTAGTAGTATGTCAAAATGGCCATACTACCAAAAGCATTATATAGATTTAATGCAATTCCTATTAAAATTCCTAAAAGTGAATAAAGCATTAATCCAATAAAGCATTACTCTCTAGTACATATAAAGAACTCAAAAAACTTAACACCAAAAAAACCAAATAACCCAATCAAGAAGGGCTAAAGAACTGAACAGATACTTCACAGTAGAGGAAATATAATTGATCAACAAGTATATGAAAAACTGTGCAAAATCTCTAGCAATTAGAGAAATGCAAATCAAAACTACTCTAAGACTGCACCTCACTCCTGTCAGAATGGCAATCATCAAGAATACAGGCAACAGGGCTGGGGCTTTGACTCAGCAATAGCAACACTTGCCCAGCATGTGTGAGGCACTGGGTTCGATTCTCAGCACCGCATATAAACAAATAAAATAAAGATCTAATAACAAATTTTTAAAAATTTTTAAAAAAAAGGATACAGGCAACAATAAATGTTGGCAAGGATGTGGGGGAAAAGGTACACTCATACATTGCTTGTGGGACTGCAAATTAGTGCAACCACTATGGAAAGCAGTATGGAGATTCCTCAGAAAACTGGGAATGGAACCACCATTTGACCCAGCTATCCCACTCCTTGGTTTATAGCCAAAGGACTTAAAATCAGCATACTACAGTGATGCAGCCACATCAATGTTTATAGGAGCTCAATTCACAATAGCTAAACTATGGAACCAACCTAGGTGTCCCTCAATAGATGAATGGATAAAGAAAATGTGGTATATATACTCAATGGAACATTACTCAGCTTTAAAGAAGAGTGAAATTATGGCATTTGCCAGTAAATGGTTGGAGTTGGAGAACATCATGCTAAGTGAAATAAACCAATCCAACAAAACCAAAGGCCGAATGTTTTCTCTAATCATTCACAATAAGGTGGAGGGCAATAGGGAAGAATAGCGTTACCTTAGATTAGGTAAAGGGAAGTGATGGGAGGGGAGGGGGGCGATGTGGGGATAGGAAGGATAGTAGAAGGAAACAGACATTATTACTGTATGTATCTATGTGATTGCGTGACAATATGCTTCTGCAACATATGCAATCAGAAAAATGAGAAACTATATCCCATCTATGTATATCAAAGTACATAAGTGCATTCTACTGACATGTATAACTAAATAAAACAAGTAAAATTTTTTTGAAAAAGAGTGATGTGATGCCACAGTGGAAAATCACATGCTATTACAGAATTATTTAAGATATTACATAAAGTTATGTTCAGGTATGTACATAAGGCATATCCAAAAAAAAAAAAATTTGCATTTAGACTTGAGTCCCATCCCTGAGAGACCTCATGTATATGCAAGTATCCCAAAATCCAAAAACGTCTGAAACACTTCTAGTCTCCAGCATTTTGGATAAAGAATACTGAACCTACATATTTAATTAAGTTTCAGTGACCACCTTAGTCTGGTCCACAGAAGGGCTGCCTTTAGGAATGTGTGTTGGTCACTTGTGAGACTACTTGGGAAGCAGGTGTGCACACTTAAAATTAGTACACACCCACAGGGGACAAAGTGCTTCAACTAACTATCCTAAAAAAAATTTCAATGGTCACATAAAAATGGAAAAAGAATCTAAAGACTGTATTTTAAAGACATCATCAGCTTTATTTCTTAACAACATTAACGCTCCATTCGTCCCTGACACACTCCATAGGACAATTTGGAGAGTTTGACACAACAAGACATGCCATGTGCATGTACACACACACACACACACACAAGCTAACACAGCAGTGGAGGTTTCCAGATCAAGATCTGTGAAAGACTAAAACCCAAAAAGACCATCCAGCCCAATCCTGGTGGCTGCTTCCCTCTTGGGGACTTAAGAAAAGATCTCTGAGGGCTTGGAGTGTTGCTGAGTGTTTCCTCTGGACCTTGTGAAGCCAAGGGAACAAAAATTAGAGACCTGGGCCTGCTGATGAGTTAGCTGAATGTTTCTAACAAAACAGAGTGAGACATAAGGCACAGTAGAGATGAAGACGATGAGCAAAGGTTTAATAAGCAGAAATTAAAAGTTGGGATTGTTTAATATAATAAAAAAATCATGAGGGAGCCGGGCACCGTGGCACACGCCTGTAATCTCAGCAACTCAGGAGGCTGAGGCAGGAGGCTCGCGAGTTCAAAGCCAGCCTCAACAACGGCGAGGCACTAAGTAACTCAGCGAGACCTTGTCTCTAAATAAAATATGAAACAGGGCTGGGGATGTGGCTCAGTGGTTGAGTGCCCCCGAGTTCAATCCCTGGTACAAGAAAAAAAAAATTGTGAGGGGCTGGGGGTGTAGCTCAGTGGTAGAGCATTTGCCTAGCATGTGTGGGGGCCCTGGGTTTGGTTCGATCCTCAGCACTACATAAAAATAAAATAAAGGTATTGTGTCCACCTATAACTTAAAAAAAAAAAAAAGGATTTTTTTAAAAGTCATGATGCGGGCTCATGTTCTCAATTTTGGGGTAGACACCTAAAAACAGGTTTCAGAATACACTAAGCAAAGAGCTGACATCACTCTGTAGAAGCACAAACCACAATCACAGTGGAAGAGTGAACACAGTCTTATCAGAGAAACAGGGGGAGGGTTAGCACACACAACTTTAAAAAAAAGCCTAAAGAAATTGGAACCTAAATGTAAGAGGTAGAGCTTTGCACCCAGAGATCCTTAAGCGTGCACTGTCCCCAGCCCACGAGGAAGAGTCACGGAATTTAACCCGTGCCCCTCACTGCAGATGGAAACGTGTGTTCATAGAGACGACGTGGTCTACTAATCTGACCCCCTGAGAAAGAGATACGGCCTAGTGGGGCTGGACGGGGCCATGGTTTCTGTAAGCGAGGGAGTCCTGAAAAGCTAAGTCAATTGTCACAAGCGTCACAAGCGTCTTGGTGACTAAGACTGATGCTTGGCCAGGTCTGGAGTGGAAGGATAAGGCAGAAGTGAGAGAATGAGATGGGAAGAGTCCACGCAGCCCTCTCCGTCCTCTCCCTGCCCCTGGGAGATACGCGATTGCGCTGAGTTGTGTGGAAGGGAAAGGACCAACCCTCAGTCACCATCTGAAACAGCCAGCAGCGGCAGCAGCGTCTCTGTGCAACCAGGTGGTGACTAAGCTCTGTGATGGCTGAACCCTTCCTCCTGACCTCCTGCAGCACTCTGTCCTTGCTAAGTACCTGAGTGGGATTCTAGATGGCACCTCTGCCATTCTTCCCAAAGAGCATTTACGGGGCCGGCTGTCGTAACAAGGTTCGCTCTGAGAAGATTCCGCCCAGCTTCCTGCGTCCTTCCTACCCCAGCCTTCACCGGGAATAACTGGTCCCTAAAGGGTTTTCTTTGCTTTGAACCTCAGCTGCAGTGAACAGGATACCCTTTGGTTGCTCCAGGGGTTGGGATTAGACATGTGGATACGTGGGCCTGCAGCTGTGGCTCAGAGGTAGAGCGCTTGCCTAGCAAGTGTGAGGCACTGGATTTGATCCTCAGCACCACATAAAAATAAATGTGTCCATCTACAACTAAAAAAAAAAAAAAAAAAAAGAATAGATTGTTGTAAACAGCTCATGGATTGTGACATGTGCCACACCAATACAAGCTGCTATTAATAGAGGAACCCCGGCATCTGGGCATCAGAGAGCATATAGGAACCCTCTGTATTTCCAACCAATGTTTCTGTAAACTTAAAAAAACTGGCAAAAAATTAAAATTTACCAAAAAAAAAAAAAAAGTAGATATGTGGAGGGGACCCTGGATTTAGCAAAGGTGAGTAGGGACCTGTGCTTTGCAGACCAACAGCGAGTTCGTTCTAAGTCCTGTCCTGCAGACCACTGAGAGGTTAACCAGAACCACCGCCCAGGCCTGACCTACTTGGAGGAAATACAGGGGCAGGACAACTGCTCTCGTCCTGACCTAATTTTCTGAAAGAATCTCAGCCACTTAGAAAGCCTCTCCCTCATTTCCCCACAACCTGGCAACGTTTAGTGCTGGGCAGAAAGAGCTCTTCATCTGCAGTGCTTCCTTCCAGCCACACCAACCCAACAGCTGCTCTGAGGCAGACCCCTGGGCAGCCACTGGTGGGACCCATGGCCTTGACTCTGGTGTCTGGCACGTCTGCGCCCAGGCATTGGGCTGGCTGGGTTGAACCGACCCTCAGCACAGAGCTCATCACCTGAGTAACTCCCGGAGTTTCCCTGGCACTGGCCGGGCGGCCAATATTAAGAGCCATATTAATGAGTAACTTCCAGCATTTCTTCCTTCGCCCCTGGCAGAAGCCCATTCCACTTACCCTCATACATCTCCAGGATATGGACGGTGTCGCCGATCTGCAGGGAGAGCTCCACATCTTGAGAAGCGTTGTAGTTATAGATCGCTGGGAATGAGAAGAAGGGGGGACAGTTAGAATGCATGCCACTAAATGAATTATTTACTCAACCAACAACCCGCCATTAAGTGATTTTGTGCCAATCACCCATAAGAGCAGAGAAGAGCTCCATTTCCACTATCCAACGAATACCGATTGGTGACGGAGTGACAAAACAAAGATGTGGCCCCCTGTTTCACGGGAATATAGCAATCTAATGCTGGAAAGGTATTGAATATATAATCACAGAAATAACTACAAAAATTAAACTAGGAAATGAGCATTCTGAAAGAAAATACCAGGTGACAATGAGGATACATCATGGGGCTCTGTAGGTCACTTCCCTTGTTCCTCAGACAACAGCCAACCTGAAATATCACTGAGCCTATAATCACCAGGGTTCAGGGCAGCTGTCTCTTGGCTTCCCTGACATAGTATTTTGCAGCCAAAAGGCTGTATCTGAGGATCTCCAGTAAGAAATGATACAAGGGACAACAGAGGGAGTGTGCCTTGCCCCAGCCTGGACATGTGGGCAGCAGGGTCGCCCCAGCCCTCTGATCAATCCAACCTCAGTCATCACCGTTCTCGGGCCGGGCAATGGCTGGACCAGGTAGTGCAAAACCATAGCCTCACTCATGACGGACAAAGGCGACAGCCAATAGTTAGACGGACAAGAGGTTTGCATAGATATTTTACCAAAGATTACATATGGGTGACTAATAAGCACATGAGAAGATATTCATCGCAATTATTCACTGGGGAAATGCAAATTCAAACCACAATCAGATATCACTTCACACCTACTAGAATGGCTGTAATAAAAAGATTTTTAAAAAGACCAGACTCTTGGCAAGAATGTGGAGAAACGAGAACTCTCATATGTAGCCAGTAAGAATGCAAAAGAGGGCCACTGGAAAACCAGTTTGGCAGTTTCTTAAAAGTTCAACTTATTTTTACCAAACAAACCAGCAAATCCACTCCCAGGTTATCTACAAAGAGAAATGAAACCATAGGTCTCCACAGAAACCTTAGGTGAATGTTCACGGCTCCTGTGGTGGACCAGAAGTGGGTTGCCCAAAAGGAAATCCGCAGCAGATACCTGTAACCTGTGTGTCTGCCCGACGTGTGGGCAAAGAGGCAACTGTGTTAAGGATTTTGGGAGCAGCAGCTTCCCCCAGACCTCAGGGCGGGCCCTGAATGCAATCACAGGTATCTCTACTCAAAGAGGAACTGACAGGAAGATGGCGGCAGGGACTGGAGTGACGTGACCTCACATCTAGGCTTGCAGACAACCACTAGAAGCCAGAAGAAGCAAGCTGTGGAATCTTCCAAGAGTCTCCGAGGAAGCACAGACCTGTCCACACCTTGATTTCAGAATTCTGGATTCCAGAGCTGTGAGATAATAAATTCCTGTTGCTTTAGGCTACCAAGTGGGTAGTAATTTGTCATAGGAGCCACAGGAAACAAGACAGCAGCAGTAGTCACAATAGCAAGAGGCAGCAACCAGTCATCAGCCTATGGCTGGATGCACCTGTCCCTGGTGTCTATGAGGGATGGATTCCACCGCACCTCAGGTCCCTTAGATACTACGGTGTGGCCTTGGCCTATAACCTGAGCTTCTTCCTGCACACTTGGTTACCTCCAGATTACTTACAGGATCAAAACAAAACATGCAAATTCTAGGTAAATATTGGCTGGGAATAAACACCAAGAAAAAAATTTCTACACGTGTCCAGGACAGATACAATTTTTTTTCCCTCAAATATTTTTGGTCTGTGGTTGATTGAAGTCTTGGATGCAGAAGCCATAGATAGAGGGTTGACAGTAAATTCATGCAACAGATGACAACTCAGCAATCAAAAAGAGTGCCATAGAGACACGTGCCACAGAAGCATGAATCTCAGAAACTATATGTTCAGTCAAAGAAGCCCAAAGACCATGTATTGGATGGTTGCATTTATTTGCAATATTCAGAATGGGCTAATCTTCAGACAGTAGAGTAGATCATTGGTCAACTGAAGCTGCTGATTGAAAAACCTATCCCGAACTAGAATGTGGTGGTGGTCATACAACTCCATAAATGTACTAAAAAAAAAAAAAAAGAATCACTGAATTTTGTATATTTAAAATACATGGATTTTTATACTGTATATATCATACTTCAATGAAGTGCTGCTATTTTTCTTTTAAAGTAGATCTATTTTTTGCTTTCAATCTACTGATGAGTGGTCTAGATCCTTCCAATGAAGAAAAACCATTTGGAGACTCAGCTCTAGCCATTGACCCACCAATGTAAGTCAGGTTCAATGAGCACACAAGGAAGGTCACTGGATCCATCTGAATGTCCCACAGGGGACCCCTTATAACTAGGAAACAAAGGTGTCCCTGTCCCAGTGGCTTCCCAAGCTGCAGTGCGCCTGCTCCTGAGCCTGGTTTCCGCACAATCTGCCAGTGAATGGAAGGCGCGGGTGTCTGTCCAGTCACCTCTTTCCAGTGTCCTCTCCTTTACAAACGGAGTCCCCCAACTAGTGTTCTGTGGCTCCAGGACAGAAGCCTGGACAAACTACGTGAATTCAAAACAAGGACCAGCTGGTGAAGCAGGTCAGGAGCACTGCACAGAATCCGGGAGGAGGAGCAGGTCCTGGACTCCGAGACCTGTTTGTGGGTCCCCAGGCCAGGGCTGCGGTGGCACTCAAGTTCAGCTCCTTCCTCTGATGGCTAGTTCACTCCGACGTTTTGCCCACTGGGTACGGGGCAGGTCTTCTACAGAAACTGGACTTCCCATCTTGGGTCCCCCTAGGCCCAGGGTACCGCCTTTCACTGAACGGTTCCTTCCACCAGCGCCCTCTCAGATGGAAAGAGGAAGAGGGAGGCCACTGTGTCACACGTCTTGTGCAATGACCAGCTTCATACCTTCCTGGTTCTTAGTCATCAGGAAAGTAGAAGAGCTCTGAGGCTGCACCTAGGGGCTGCGAGGGGCTCGGGCACCGGTGTGCAGGGGCACCTGACAATCCGGTGCTATCACCCACCCACTTGCCAAGTTCCCCCTCTTTTCTCCTAACTTCTACGCTGGACTTGGGGTTTACCCACAGCCTGTCTCTGTCACAACAATCCAATCTCACATCCTACAAACAGCTAGTGGCCCCGTTACCCAGAATGCACTCTTCTCGGATGTCCCTGGGCCGTTTTCCCTTCCAGCACAGTTTGGGTTTGCCACCAACTAGAAGGCAAACCCCTCTCAAATGGGGACCTGGTGACACGTTCCTTGTGAGTCTTCTCATTACACGGCACAGGCTTCCTCCAAAGACAGCACTCAAGGCACGATCATGACTCCAAGGAGTCATGATCCAAGACTCAGAGCTCCAAGGAGTACAGTTTTAAAAATTAATATGTTCATGCCTTCTGTCAAATCTGCCAAACAGTTCAGTGGCTCACCACTTCTTCCCCAAATTCAAGACACACTTCTGCTTTCCTCCAAAGAGGCGGCTGCGGTTTCCCACCACTCAGGAAGGGGACATCAAGACACCTCTCTGGCTGCTTACTGATTATCAGACAAGAAAATTCAAACGGTGCCTTTCCTACCTAAGCTTTCAGAGATGCACGTAGAGAGCACAGCTCTTCCACAAAGCCTTTCCGAGGGGAGCACTGGCCACCATGGACAACTGTGCCACCCGGTCAGGTCTCTGGGCAGAAGTCCAACCAGCACCCTGCACACCCCTTCCCTGAATATCCCTCAGATTTCAGTGCACTTAGAGGCTTCACTTTCCTACACATCACAGTAAGTGTGAGGAGGCCCACATTGTTCAGCCAGGAAGCAGGAGCTGGGCCGTGAGGTTGGTCCACACACCCCTGGACCAGGAGGGCCCATAAAGGTGAAGGTGTGCCCAGGAGAGCTGAGGGACAAAGGGAAGAGCCTAGATTTCTCCCTTTAAATGAGACTCATAGCTGCAAGACACACTTTTATCCTACAATTCCATGACTGGTGATGACATTATCAGCTGGTGTGATTCTGAGAGCAAGAATACAGTTATGGCACTTTGCAGGCTAAGTCTTCACCCTAGAACTCGAATAACCTACAGAGAAGGTAGAGGAAGGAAAACCTTGGGTTAAACACAACACAACTCCAGACCCGACCACTCACACGCTGTGTGACGGTCAGTGAGCAGTCATTCTGGACCTCAGTTCTCATCTGCAACAGGGTCTGGACTGGAAAACTTGGAAGGCCCTGTGGCTCTAGAGTCCTGATTCATGAGGTGACAATGCAGGCCAGACAAACACGCTGTGCAGCTTTGAACTGGCAGGCACCAACGCAATCTCCTGTTTTGTCTGAGGAAATTAAACAAGAACAGGGAGTCGCTGTATATAAATTGCCTCGCTGTCTGCTGTGTGCAAGGTTGGGAAAGACAAATTGCTGGAATTCTTCCCTGAGCAGCTTACTGTTTATATCAGCAAAGTGTAATTCTGCAGAGCCAAATAGACAAGACAGTATGTCTACAATGTAAAACAGTTTGCATTTTACCAAATACTTGATTTGGCATTTTTTTTTTTTTAAAAAAAAAGGCTTAATGGAAAGAAGAAAAAAAAAAAGAAAGAAACATTGAAACCTTGGGATTATGCAATAAGTAGTCCATAGCACAGATGTACTGACCGCAAACAGGATCGGTTTTGACCATGAAAAGCCTATGTGTTAATAGTAATAAATCTATCTAATGGTTCTTTCATGAATCTCCAAATTATAACCCCCTGAAGAATGAGTAAAATGTTTGATTTTTTTTTTTTAAATTTGTCATCTGACAGAATTTACAAAAGAAGGTTCCAGCAAGTTGTATGCTATTTGGAATATCCAAATGATGATCAAACGTGTTCTTTTTCATTATCATCTTGATCTGTCTAGTCTCAGCCCTTAGTTTTACAAAAGCTACCGACACCTTTGATCTTCACCCTGGCTACACACAATGCTATTCCAGAAGGCCAAGAGATTTTTATTATCTTTCTGCTCTTTGACGGCA